GTCACTTCGGTAACATGCCTATTAAAAAACAGGCTGTTTTATCAGTGAACCAGTTACAGGATACTGTATTTGTGATGGGGAATAACCATTTCTGTTTGTAGGAATTCATAGCAGTAGTGTAATCTTTCATTCAGTTTTCTTCAGCTATCGCTAATTACTGTCTTACTAACAGATTTTACCTTGTTAGGCCTGTAAGCCAGGAGGTTCTTACTCTGATTTTTTTTCTTGTTAGCCTGTTTCAGCACGTGAGAGGCTACCTACAAATGTGGTTGTGCCCAGCAGTTTTATCTTACTCCACAGTTACTGGTCTGCCTCTGTTCTTTTTTTTCTTCTGCCCTGTTCCTTGTTCCTGGAAATTTTGGCTGCTTTTATTATTATTATTCTGTAGAGCGTTTTACACCTTAAAAGAAAATGGGATGCTTTGTGTACCTCATCTCTACATATCAGCATGGGAGATGAAAACATTCTGTGCTGTAGCACATAGCATAGATTCTCAGCTGGATGAGCAGTTAAACTGCTTTACTTCACTTCTCCAAGGACATTTTCACAGGGATTTTGAGGGGCAGTTGACATAATTGGTGGATAATGATACAGAAAAGGGGTATTGGGAAGACTATACTAGTGTGGTAGCTGAACAGATACTTTAGTTTTGCCAACTCATCTGAATGGTCTCGAATAGTTTCACGAGTGACTTGACACTTCCAGCAGTACTGCTTATTTTAGAATTTTTCAATCTTGGGCGACACTGCAGAATTCATCATACTAACATACAAGCTTTCAAGGACATTGCCATCTTCCCAGGTTTTAGAATAGTTACACTGGAAGGCCATCTCCTGGCATCTTCCCTGCATCAGTTCTCAGTCGTGAATGCTAAATTGCTTTGACTGCAAAACTAGCTACATGCAAATTTTAAAATAATGTTGCATAGATGTTTCTCCCTAGAAGGGGAAAAAAAAAGTATAATAACGTTTATAACTTATCTTTGGCTCTGTTTCCTAAGTCTTAATGGCACATGTGCATGAATAATAGGGATACCTCACTGTGAGGCCATTATCCTATTAACGGAATGTGTGCATCTTTCTTTTAACTTCTGTGGCTGACCCTCGTGGATTCTTTTGCAATGCTCAGCAATAAGTTGGAATGAGTAACTGATTGCTTTTGGCTGCTAAACTACGACGTTGTGAAGTCTCAGTTTTGAACGTGGCTGGATGCTGACTTGCACTACTTGTACACCAGCTGGGCAATCGGTGGGGATAACAGAAGGGTAGTGCTGTTCTCTGGTGTCTCATCAACAATAATAGATTTGTCCAGGGTCGATCTTAATTTGAACTCTGGTAGAACATCATCTCTTTGTGAAACCTTTTATGGCAGTTACCGTAGTTTTTGGTAGAATTAATTTTATTTTCTTCTGAGACAAGACCAAAACAGTACTAAGAATCTGAGCTGTCATAACCAGGTGTGCAGTCTTAAGTTGTAGCTGAGCTTCGATACAGCGTTACAGCAACTGTCCAGTCCAGTGTTGTTCAGAAGTCTGCCTTCCCAGTTCTGATGCAGTATATACAGAACAGTGAGTCAGTTGTACTGTTTCCTTTAAACTTCAGCATAGTAACTCCAAGTCACACCTTCAGAGAGTCTGGTCACTGCAGCGAACCTAGATTCCAAGCTGGTTTTAGTACCTTCTTAAAGTGTATAATTGAATTATGTCCCCTCTCAGTAGCTGTACAGCCACAGAAGTTAGTGTGTTACAAAGGCTTTTTCTGTAACTTGATACTGCTGTTGTGTGACTGGTATGAAAGGGATGAGATCATTGATCTTTTTCAAAAGACAGGTGGCAAAATATTGATGCTCAGTTTAATTCAAGAAAGTGAGAGACTGGTAAGTATGTGCATCACTTTAATGCATGCATATAACAGTAACTAGCTTAATTTTGTAGCATTTGGTTTACAAAGAAGATGCGGAGCTCACATCATCTGTGTCCATTGGGACCCTTCTATGAACTGTATGCTTCAGGAATGGATCGTTGCACGAATTACATGTTTGTAATGTGTGTCTGCCACTTTGTAACAGTATCTGATTAAACAGAAATAAACCACTGTTTCTGTGTATTTTTTTTCTCCTCTTGAGAACCTCTTTAAATTATTGTTGCAACGAATGTTGGCTGTTCCAAAGTGTGTATGGGTATAAAATCCACACTCACTCATGTTACAGCTTGAATACATTTGTACTGGGTCTCTGGTTGTCTATAAACTACAAAACCTCATTCATTTGTTTTTGAACAAAGCTGTTTATATCTGGAGACAATTACCTTTGCTGCTGATCTGCTCTGCTGAATGGACTATACAAAAAAAACCCAGGCTATTTGAGTTGGAGAGAATATGGAGGAAAGTATCTAATAGTATTTTTGTAAAACAGAGAGAGGGCATGCTGTTAAATGGTCTGTTCTAAACCCTTTTACAGCAAAATGCTGGGGAGATGAGGGAGCCTTGAAGATGCCTCTCCTTGCAGCTTCTGTCTACAGGATGAGAATGGATTACTCTGCTAGGCCAGTTGGTCTCATTAACTACCACTGTTTATTCATAATTTAATTTCTCAGAGGTGGTAAAAGGAACATAAATCCATGAATTTATGCTACACTACCTGGAACAATTCATAGCTTTTTGAATTGGTTATGTGTAATGAGGACTCAGTAGAGAACCCTTAAGGGAAGACTGCTGCCTTGCGTTGAGCTGTTCACTGGAGTTGATGTCTTCTGGCCCTTTTAACTAGGGAAATCTCAGGGAGCATTTGAAAAACGGGAACTATTTTGTCCTGAAAGCTGGTTCTGGTTTTGTTTGTTGTCTGGCCAGTTAAACCATTCCCAAGTTTGATTTATCAGACTCTTTGGGTAGAGGATGAAAAATAGGACTCTATTTTCTGCCCTGTGAGTTTCGGCAGCTTGTTTTGCAGCATAGAATCTCAAGTGCTAGTCTCTAAGTTCATGCCTTTTTTATTTTTCCTGCAGGGTGCAGGGAGATGATTGTGTTTATAATACCCTGATGAGGTGAAGAGTTTGGATCTAAGCCTTTAGTTTCTAAGAGGTAGAAGTATCTTTGAAAAGCAAGACCCCCCCCGCTCAGTCCTCAAAGGAAAGAAGGGAGTGCAGGGGTGTGGGCTGCAGGGCAGAGGATCACTGGCTGCAGTGTCAAGTCAGGTACCTGTAGGCAGGAAGGAAACAAGTGGCAAGATTACACCCTCTTGGCCAAGTCTTCCACTAATTTATCATAATAGAAAGTTTCATTTTGGAAACAAAAGCTATGCTTTTCCCACAGCATTTGAGCAGGTTGTATAAACTTAAGCAGTTAATGCTTGCTTTTAGCTCCTGTGCTTTTCAGTAAGTTTGTGTATCTTATTTCTGCTCTGGGTTGAAGCCATCCGTGTGCCCTGTGCTAGACTTGAAACCACCTTTGCCCAGTTAACTTTTCAAACGTATGCCCCCTGCATTAGAGGTGGGGGACAGAGGGAGCTTTCTCTTGCACCCCAGGTCTCTTGCTCCTAGCAGTTCAGATGGTCCTTCCTAAATCACCTTGGGGAAAGCTGCTCTTGATGTGCGTAACCTCTTAAGGTTAAGCTTTTCACTTAAGCATTTACTTAACACTGGTGAAATCTGCCAGCCTGGATTTCTTGAGCCCAAAGTGCAAGCCTCCAAAATCTACTTTGCTGTTGTGTCTCAGGTTGATGGCAAGGGAAGCAGACAAGTATTGCCTGGCCAGCAGTCACAAGCTGCTTTTCTGCTTCCTGGGGCCCAAAGGTGGAGGCTTGAAGGTTGAATAATCCTTGGTTTCATCCTGTTCTAAATTCAGTGGCTTGCAATTCCTTTTACAGTTTTTGGCTGTGTCTAGATCTTGACTGAAGCTGGAAAAGCAAATCATACCTTGCTGCTGTTTAGAACTGCGTCTTCAGGTAGGGTAATTTTAGCTTGTGTAGAAATGGTAATTCTTAAAGGTGGCTTATTAGTTTAAAACTTGAGCTATATGGGAGGTCTTCTGGGAATTCTAGTGATATCAGTATCAAACAATGTGAAACTCAAAGAATAAGGGACAGCTTTATTATTAGAAAAGCTTAATGTGACGGTTGCAGACAGTGCTTACAAATTAATACATCAGGCTAGACAATATTTTTAAGCATAGATATATACAACAGACAAATCAGACACGTACTGTATGATGTGGACATTTCTTAGAGAATGCTGCAAAAAACATTTTGCCAAGTGCAGAGATTATTTGGACTACGAAATCATAACAGCACCTACAAGTAATCTTTTACGTCATCAGTATTTAACAGCCCACAAGTCTTTGCACCCCTCCCCAGATATAGCTATATCTAGCATGGTTTGTAATATTTACATGGAGAAGCAATATGAAAGTGATGTAAAATTTGAGACCTGTTTTTTATCAATCCTGATGTTTGCAAAGTCAATTTAAGAACTGCTTACTTTCCCTGTGAGCCTCTCTACTGTATAATACAGAGGCCTGCAGTTGATGGGGACATGTATTTCATACATGGTACACGTTAGTAAGCAAAATATGTTACAGGCAGTGTAGTATGAGGTATGGAAATTAATGTACAATCAAGAAAAGGGCTCCCTGCCATACCTGTTTATTCCAGAGTTCAGTTCTCTAAATGCTGATAGGGGCAGGAGTAATGGTGTCTTTTGTCTCCACTCCCCCACCCCCATCCCAGTCCCCAAGCAAATACTGCAATTATTGCTGAAGTCTGAAATCTTGCCTTTGGTGACTCTAGAACTGTGTTTCAAGGTATATTTTACTAGTAGGTTTCACATTTTTGTAGCTATTTGATCATTGTAGTAGTAAAGTGTGGTTATCTTGCTACCTGATGTTCAGCTAGCGCAGTCCACTTTGTTTTAAACGTGACAGTGGACATTTTCAGTGCTGTACCTTCTAAGGGCCCAGTGGTAGGTACTGTTAATGTACTAAATACTTTGTATTCTGCTGACTCTTGGACTATTTTTCAACCTCAATATTGAAAGCAACAAGACCATTAAATGAAAAGCCTAAATAAAAGGTCACGTTTTCACTTCCAGGGGGCACTGAATCATGATGGAGCGGCAAGATACGAAGCTCTTTCATGTGTCCACGTATAAATAACTTCCTGTCCATGGTCCAGCCAGAAACTCTCTTGAGAATGTCACAAATCCCAGCAACGTTCCATACACTTCCACGGAGCCACTTCATTCTCCTCTCATCTAACGACCCGCTGATTAATTTATCAATCTTATTTTTGTGCACAATCTTCCTTAAGCCATAGCCCTTTCCCAGAAAAAAGTGGGTGTAGATCCTTTTCTTTCTGGGAGGAACGTCTTTCACCTTGATATCATATAAGCGGTACAGTGTTTGAAGGGCCGAGTTGAGAATATCGTCTTTATCTGGGTTAGGCTCTTTGTCTAATGCCTCATCTGGCCAGTACAGCAAGGTGAGCAAAAAATGGGCACTCGGTGGAAATGGTCTTTTTCCTTTAAAGAATCTTACGCTGAGCTCACGAAGAGTTTGCATTGGAAGAAGCCTGGCTGATCCTGGTGCTAGGCATGTTAGTGTGATGTGGCAGAAAATATAATTGATCAGATCGTTGTCCTCCAGCTTCAGTGGGTTTTCTGTATAGAAACTAAGGATATTTTCTAGCTTTTCAGCTGCCCTGTTCCCTTTCTTATCTGTTAAGAATGAGAGGATATTAGTGACGCTGCCTCCGCCTCTCTTATAAATATTCATGCGTCTAATCAGCTGGCTCTCGGGGCCACCGTTGCTCTCCTCCATAAGTGATGCTGAGATGAAGAACTTGGCATATACCTCAGACTGTCTTTTGAGCCATTTTCTAGGGTTATAAATTTGATCTTCCTTTTCATCTCTGTCATCATCCTCTTCCTTCTCGTGGGTTTTATCCGTTTGGAAATAACTTAGATCTTCTGAAATCCATTCCAGAGCGTTGTACAGGTTCTGACGTAAGCCTTTCAAGCGGAAGTGAAGCCTTCCCCATGTTTTCTCAATGTCTTTAGGAACATAATCTGTGATCAGGTATTTCACAAGCTCAGAATATTCCCCCTCCGCGCTTCTGCGAAATACAGGGACTGTGGACAAAAACCGAAGAAGACGACATCCTACTTCTACTTCTCCAAAATAGCCAGCGTTGTTCATGTTATCACGTTCTGCTTTTGCAGCCTGTTGTGCACCCCTGAAGCATTTCATAGCTTTAAGAGCAATCTCTATCTTTTCAATGATTCTTTCAGGAGTGTCCTCCTCTGTCGTTTTATCCACAGTGTAACTAAACCATTTCCTGTATACTTGACCTTCGGTATCTAAAATAAAGGAATCGTGCGGCAAAGCAGCTTTTGCAACCCCAGCCCAGTATAGCGCATCTTCAAATTTTTCATTGGTGTAGTGCAGTCTGGCAAGCTGCTGGGCAAAAAAAGCGTCTTTTCCAAGGTGTTCATATGCAGCTTTTAAAACAGCTATAGCTTTTTCACAGTTTTCAGCTTTACAGACATGTTCAATGAACGGGGAGAAAAGAGTGTCAGTGTTGTCACCTCTGCTTCTTTTGTCACGTCGAATGAACAGATCTCTGATGAACTTTATGAATTCATCTCGTCCAAATCTGTTTCCAAGGAGTGTCTTTTCCTGAAGAAGACACATTGCAAGTTGACTCTGAGGTTCATTCCCTGAAAGCTGATGCAGGATTTCTTTTGCAACCAGATAGTGTATTATCTGAACAGATGAAATATAGGTGGTATTTTCCCTTAGCTCAATAAAAATCATTCTTGCTTGCTCACTCAAGTGACTTTTGAAATCGTACGCTCTTGATTTCCTTTCTGTATATACCCCCAGTCCCAGAAAAGCCTCACAGTGTGACAATGAAACGTGTGAGTTAGGTACGTAGAAATTGAGCAAAGCCACGTAGCGCATCAGGTAGGTATCGCGAGAGGAATGGTCGATGCCTTGCAAGATGTGGCCTACAAAGTCGCTGATGTATGTTTCATTGAACTCCTCACACATCAGGACAAATGTAAGTATGAATTCTGGCTTGACATCTTTCTGCCTCAGTTTTTCAAGTTTAGTTCTGAACAGAATTTTTTCTGTATCTGTCAGCTTGTGAGTGACAGCAACTGTGTCCAGTGGAGACGCCTTGCAAAGCCTCTCGGGGTCGTTGGATCGTTTACAGCACAGGAGGATGAAGTAAGGTCTGGGGGAATTAATCTTCCTGGCTGCCACAGCTTCCATTAACTCATTCCTCAGTTCGTCTATATAGTCTTCATCATAATCCTCGATCAGGAGGAGCACAGGAAGGCAGTGACTGATTTCTTTCTCTTCATAATCTCTAAATGCGACTGCGTGCTCACAGACAGTTGCAGAGGAATATGAGGTTTTGATAACAGCACACCTTAAATCCTTTCTTCTTTTCCATAGAACTTGCCGTGCTATTGTGCTTCCCCCACTTCCAGGATGGTGAAATATCTTTAGTTTAGCCACAGAATAATTGTGTTCACTTCCTTGTAAAATGTCATCTAGGAGTTTGCTGGCATCCTTGCATGCTTCACGTTCAATGATTTCCCCACAGCATCTTTTATCAGCAAGCCAGAAATTTTCCCAGGTGATTTTTCTCCCTCGGTAAAAATTTTGTTCTATTTCTTGTATTTCTTTTTCGGTCAGAAGATCCAATCTGATATCGTCGCACTGGTCCACACACAGGATTTCTAGGGAAAACAGTTTCTCTTCTTCCAGCGAGGGAAGTGTACACAGTCCTCTGGTGGAAACTGGCAGGTGCCTCGGTTGTGCTGTAGAAGGCAACATATTTTGAATGGTGGCGTCTACGTGACTTAGTTTCATCCCCACGATGCTGCACTGTTCCAGCGTCTTGATGCTGCAGGAAGTCTGAGCCAGATTCGCCCACTTCCTGTAGTTTTCCGTGGACTCTGCAATGCAAACGATGTACTCTGAGCCGTTCATCTCTGTGTAGAATTCCTGAAACGTGTCCACAAGCGGTTTCTGCACCGGTGACAGCAGTAGGAAAAGCACAATGAACGACCGCTTTGGCAGGATTTCGTCACAGATACGAGTGATCGCCTTCTTAAGGTACTTCTTTTTCGTTCTGATCCATGTGTTTTCGTCACAAGGCTTTTCATCCCCGTGGAAGTCACTGCGCCCGTTGCAGAAGATCCAGCTGATCTGATCGAACAGGGACGAATGTTTCTGAAAGGGAGTCTTACTTTCTAAGCCAACCTTGCTTTCATTGGAAAACTCCTGTAAAAAATAAGACCTTGTTGCGTGGTGGTTTTTGTACTTGCTGTACAGTCCTGACACATTGGAATCTTCATCAAAGTCAAAGACACAGAAAACGTTCAAGTGCATTAAGAAGTTGATATAGTTCAGATCATCCTTTTCACATCTGTTTGTGACAAGGATGTACCGTAGGGAGTCATCCATGTAGCTTTTGCCATCGTTTAGTAGAATCGATAACTTTCTTCCTAAATTTTTAGATGCTACTTCTGTAGACACTGTGCTGGAGAGCTCAGCTTGTTCTCTTTGGGCATCCCTGTCTGGTAAACCCTTGATAAAAGTAGCGAGATTGTTGCGCTCCACAGGTTCGGACTTGGCTCCCAGTCTCTGGTAGAGGGCGAGCTCTTTCGTCAGGGTCACCTTCTGGCTGCCTTCGTTATATTTTGGCAAATGCACTTCAAAAAATTTGCCATTTACTAAACTGAATGTTGGTTCAATGTCAACCTCCACCACAAATCTTTGCTCCTGAGAGTCTTTTGAAATCACCTCAACAAAAACAGGTGGGTGAATACATTTCCTTGCAGTTTCTTGCAGATTTTCAACAAAACATTTTTCTATGTAATCCAATGCATCAACGTAGTATTCTCGCTCTTTGACCTTTATGCCAACGATCTGGCCGTGTTTCCAGCCCTTATCCTCAATGCTGTCCATGACACCAAAATAGATGGTGCCGTTTGTTCGAATGTTCATGCAGGCTGAAGCAAACCGTATCACTTCGCAGGCAAACTTGGACTGCAGTTGACTTCTGCTGAGCTCCGCAGCGATGGCAAAAGATTTGTATTCGCGGCAAGGAGTGATCAAGCCGTTGACTCCTGATTCCGGAGCCAGAACTCTGTCTTTCACGTATTTGAAATCGGCATTCTGGTGTCTGAACGGCCGGCAGTTGCTGAGCTCTAAAACTTCATCGTTACTTTCAAGCTGGGAGTTACTGCGTCTCCTTTGCCTCTTGCCAGAAGCAGAAGCTGGGTTTTCTTTGCTGGTTTTATCTACTGCACCACAGCTGCCTTCACTTGCCGTTTTCCGAGCGGGGGCTTTTCTGGGTCTCGCCGATTCTGTTTGCGCATGATTTACGTCGGGCGTTTTGCTGCTGGAATGCTTGGCTTGCTGTGGGTTTTGTAGCTGCAGAAGCTCCTTTCTCTTGCAGGTTAAGATGTGGATTTGGCCTCCTTTCATACCTATGCCTTTGAGGAAAGATTCATCCAGTTCCATGAGCACTGAACCTGTCACTTCTTCCGCATGTAGCTTTTCTACGTACTCTTTCTTGATTCCAATAGATTCTAGCCAGCACCGGACATGGTTCTCATCCCATTTATTCACAGGTAATGTGCTGTAATCTACAAGTTAAAGTTATATATGAGTAATACAAATTAAAAACATGTTAAAGTGCTTGACAAGCCATAATCCTTGCAAAACTGACTGTGTTGAATGCTAGATTATTTTCTTTCTACCAGCCACAGTGATAGGCTGCGCCTCCTCAAACATGTTACTTCGATGACTAAAAGCATCTTCAACATTAATCAAAAGCAGTCCTAAGCAATGGTACAGGACTAACAGCAGGAAATCATGAGAGAGGTTTGGAAACCATCCTCAAAGGGAGTCATGGAAATAAGCCAAAGGTTTTGAAGGGAATGATGCGATAAGGTTATCAGAACTGACAGGGGCTGAATTCTTTGAACTAGAGAGGTTTGGGCAGCTCATTTACCCACTTGAGTCTGTTGGTCTTCTGCTAAGTGAAGAGAGCGTCTACACAAACCAGATGATGTTAAGAGCACCAATTAGTTCCTCACTACAGATGAACCCTTAAAACGCAGATATTAAAAAGCAAATTGCTACATAGAAAGTACACGTTTTCTGAAAGCAACACATACCCATTGCCTTTGATGAGGGAAATCCTGCTGTCAACGAACAAAACCCTAGAGGGGGAAAAAGAACTGCCTTTACATTTACAATTAACATTCCTGTGTTAGTTAAAGCTGACTTACTGCTTCTTTTTTCCCAACCCCTTTTGGGCCAAGGTAGTTTCTACCCCTCTAAAAGGCCGCTCTTGCCCGCTACGCTGCTGCTGCTGCACGCCTGTGCTGGGTGCAGGCAGCTGCTCTTGCCTGGACACATGCGGGCGTGCGGCAGAGATGGGTTTTGCTACAGAAGCAGCTGCTGACAGCTGTGCCCATCTAACAGCTGCTTCTGTGAGACAGGAAAAAAGGACACCCAACACTACTGCATCCCCGGGTTTCAGAGTATCCCTTGCTTTTTATTCCTGTCTCTCAGTAACTCTCCCTTTCCCTGCCTCTTGCTCTCCCTTGATCCCATGGTTGTTTTGGGGTTTTTTTTGCACCTCTTTTCCACATCTGTTCCAGTGTTCCCTGGATTCCCTATGAAGCAGTTCAACCCTGTAGAAAATTTTCTTTTTAGTGGAGTGTCCTGGGCTGACAGATGAAATCCCCTGCCTTGCTCAGACTCTATTTACAGGGATACAGAGATACTCTACAGGGGTGCAATAGATTCCCATCGTCACCAGTAACCATCCGTGAGCTATGGCCGGGTCAAGGAGGGTCACGGTGACAGCAGGAGGGTGCTGCTGATGTTTCTCTTACTCTGTTGTGAAAGCTCAGCTCTGCGCTGGTTCCTGACAGATGAAATCCCCTGCCTTGCTCAGACTCTATTTACAGGGATACAGAGATACTCTACAGGGGTGCAATAGATTCCCATCGTCACCAGTAACCATCCGTGAGCTATGGCCGGGTCAAGGAGGGTCACGGTGACAGCAGGAGGGTGCTGCTGATGTTTCTCTTACTCTGTTGTGAAAGCTCAGCTCTGCGCTGGTTCAGCAGTCGTGGGGCTCCGCGCCGTGTCTGAAAGGACAGAAGTTGTAACAGGAAGGCAACGAGCACTCACACCTCAGGACCCCGGCATGGCCAGAGATAAGCGCAACAGAAAGTGATGGTCTGGGGAGATGCTGGGAATAAGAGAATAGGGGATGCTAGGGGGAAAAAAAAAGTGGTGCAAGTGTTATTCACTGTTTAAGCATTTGGTCCGCCCTGTGGAAAGCTCATGGGGTGCCCTGTGGTTGAAGTGAGTGGCTCCAAGGGGATCGTGTTTGGGGACTGCTCTGATGTGCCACAGGTGGTTAGGATTAGCTGGTCCCTCCAGAGTAAACTGGTTGGTTATCAAAATGGTCGAGACT